ACACGGAGAGGGATGGCCTCCAGAATTATGAGGCTCTGTTAGGTCTCACTAACTTTTCAGGAAGAAGTGATAAACTTAGGTGAGTTCAACTGCTTTTTGACTGTCTTCCTTTTCCAGATACTTTATCAGGATTGAAGTGTTCTAGAAAAGCTGTGAATGAATATATCGGATCTGTTTCTGGGCTGTCAGTGTAGAGCTGTCAAAAGCCCTGCTGCAACTTGGTCTGTTATAGAGCAATTTGAGGCTTTTTCCCCCCCATGAAAATATTCGTTTTACACGCACCAATTCCCTTAACCTCTTTTCAGAGTGTGTGTGTGGGATTAGTTTTTAAAACAACTTTATATTTTTATAAATCATGTGTTTAATACAAATTTTACAAAATTGGTCATTTTTAACCTATATTTCTCCCCTCTTGCTTTGCCCTGGCTGTGCATTTCTCTGCTTCCAGTGTCAGCACTAACATTCATGTGGTTACCCAGCCTGAAAACTGACCAGCAAAATACTGATTTTTGTTTTCCTTGGGTTACTTTCCCATCAAGTCAGTTTATTGATCTAAAAGTCCACAGGACTGCACAAAGCTAGTGCTACAGAAGAGGAGGGCAGGACCACTGCTGTTGGACTTCAGTCATCTTAATTTGATCTTGAAATTTCATGATTAGTCCTCCATGCATTGGGATAGGTGGAGCACCTGTGGATAATGTCCTTGCCAGCCCTTTCAAGCTATGTGGCTATAACTTGATAGAATTTTTACACCCTTGATTCATGCAATCCCCAAAGATATCCATCCATGCTGGATTCATTGGGTGTTCACCACACTGGTTCTGTTCTCACCCTTTGCATGTTCATTTTACTTGGAAGAACAGCAATGACAGAGTATCTGTATTTACTCTGGCAGAGCAAATCTCATACATCACAACCTTCCTTGGCAGGTGGCTTCATTAGTTTCCCTTTCAGCTCTGCTGAACTGGATTCAACCATTTTCTCATAGGACTATGAGGACTGGTCAATTTGAGCTACCTTTGGCAGAGCTTATAAAGGCTGCAGAACTAAAAGTGTCAAAAAATAGCCTGGAAGAGGAGGGTGGCACATTTTCCTCAAGTAGAAGAAAATACATGAACTCAGTCTGTATTAGACAAGGAATGAACCACATGCCATGAGTTCCAGTGCCATGGGCACAACTTGTTTTAAGGCCTCCCTTGTCTCCCCTCTGTCTGCACTTAATATTTTATGTCAGTTATTGCACGTCCTGGACTGTATTTTGACTCCTCTTCAACACAGGATGAAGATAGTCAAAGAGAGGGCCTTGCCCGACATTGAAAACTACATGTTTGAGAATCATGACCAGCTTCGACAGGCAGCCACGGAGTGTATGTGCAACCTGGTGGTCAGCAAGGAGGTAACTCACAGCGCGTCTGGAATTTGACTGCATGCACCAGCTTGTGAGCCACTACAATGAGGATTTCATAAATCTCTTCTCTTGTGGGTTGTTTTTCAGGTTCAAGAGCGGT